TCACTGCACGTCGGTTGATACTTCCGCTGTACTGTCTTCGTGCATACTTTGAGGTATCCTCAGAATAACCTCATATTATAGCTGAATTTTTGTCATAATCAATCAAATGTTGTATGAATAATATTATTTTGAAAAGTCAAAATATCATTGAGATGTACCAAATGTTTCACCATAGCAACCAAGACCAACATCGTAAAATGTGGCAAATTTAATGTAAATTTTGCATATAAATACAGTTCAGAGTATTACCTGCTATACAATCATTTAGAAACAGTGCCTCTGATGACTCGGGAAGAATTAATTATTGATATATATTTCATACCTGGCAGAACCTTGGTTTCCAATTTATTTATTGTTCTCTGTAGAACTCTATGACCTCGGTTTAAAGTCTTCAGAAATTGAGCTTCTTCTTCATTGATGATATCTATCACTAATTGAGGGTCTTTCTTAATGCCGGGGAATGCATCTCCCTGAAAAAAAAATAATACGGTAAAGCAACATTTAAATCATATCTTGATAATTATTGATAATATTTTTTAATCTTGTCAAAAAGTTGGGTTTGCACAGGATTGAATCCAATTAATGGCACGTAGATTCGTTGTTTTTTCAAGCATTCTTTAAATCACATAATCCTTTTTTTTTTTATCCGCCATTGTTTAGTGTAATGCAATGTTTAATGTAAATCCAAAAGTTTTTACTGATTCTTCAGAATTATGGTAAAAAATGAGCATTAATTAGCATGTTGATTATTTAAACATATATTATGTTCAATTTTAAAATCACATATTTTAGTGGAAAGATGTTAAATTATTTAAGACTTTCTGATACCAGAAAACAACATATAACCACATGATGAGGACTACTACTACTGTAAACTACTTTATTTTCGCTGGAATTAATTTTCGCTGAACAGTTTTTTAGGATGTTTTGTATGGAATTTATTTTCACTGATTTTTGATGAGTTGAATATGAAATATAGGAAAAAAGGTATACTCGCTGGATTTTATTTTCACTGAATCAGCCCTTCAGCGAAAATAAATTCCAAGCGGAAATAAAGTATTTTACGTAGTTGTTTTAGTATCAAATAGTGATCATTATTACAAACATGCTATAAACATTGTTTCAACTCACCAGTGTGTCCAGGACCACCTGCACCAGACTAGCAAAGAAACCACTGGGTGCATTCAGTTTCTCAGTAGCATATCTCACACCACGACGTAACACTCGTCTCAACACATACCTGAATTTAAAGGAAAAATATCACCAATCAATAATTGTATTATAATAATCTAATGTTGCATACAAGTATGTATGATATGAAAGGTTTTGTCTTGTAATTTGTGTCATATAGCAGATACAACAGTTACATTGTAATGTATTTGTAAGATATCCAGGTTAGCAATGAATTGAGATCTTTGTGCATAGGAATTTAGATTGACGGTGGATTTTAATGGAAAATTGGAATAATCTCATTTATTTTTCTCCACTAAATAAATTTAAAATTTTTTTTTTGTACTGTAAAATACTTTATTTAAGCTGGAATTAATTTTCACTGAAAAGACTTTTCGGATGTTTCGTACGTAATGTATTTTCACTGATTTTCTCCAAGTTGAATTTAAAATATGGGAAAACAAGTATATTCGCTGGATTTTATTTTCACTGAATCATTTTCTTCAGCGGAAATAAGTATTTTACAGTATTGCCTTTTTGTTCTAGGTCCTTTTCATTCTGAATTTGTATGAGAGTTGTAAGTCTTACTCATGCTGCAATGGTGTATGAGCAAAATTATAACTTCCGACATAACATAATCCCTAGATTACTTGAGCAAGGCAAGTTCTAAGATTTAACTGTAGTAATGTTGAATTCTCTAAATATATTAGACCTGGTTGATAAGGAGGTAATCTAACAAAAGCTCCACAAGAGAAAAGGAAAGAACTTTGGAATACATCCTTATCAAAAATCAGGCTTTTCTGCAAAGAGTTGTGGTCAAGTTACTGATTTATAGCTACACAGGTTTCTTGCAAAGTCACATGACTTTACAGCAAAACGGCTTCTTACAAAGTCACATGACTTTACAGGAACACAGGTTTCTTGCAAAGTCACATGACTTTACAGGAACACAGGTTTCTTGCAAAGTCACATGACTTTATAGCAACACAGGATTCTTGCAAAGTCACATGACAATGATGAGACATACGAGGTTCATATGCAGTCATGTTGATTTCAGAACACTGCACTATGAAATCAGTCCAACATTTATTCCCAGCTTGATGAATATACAATCACGATACAGCAGGTTTTAGAACAATTTCTTCAGTATAATAACCTGATGAAGATGCTGCCATTATTTTAAATCCAAAAATTAGATTAGTCTGTATGATAAACACAATCCATGTACAATCCATTTCTATCAAGGTGTCTGAAAAGTAATTTTCAACTTTTTGCTAAGTTTATGCAAAGTGGGAAGAGTTACTTTTAGTGCAATATCCTTGCAGCTAGCTGTTATAAGCTGCAAAGTTTCCATTTTCATAAAGGAGACACTCTCGCAGCTATGAAAATACATAATTCTTAATTTTATATAAGAATAATAAATGAATCCCACATTTACCCTCTTCCAACATTATCTGGTCTTCCACCGTCAGATATAGCTATCGTCAGTGTTCGTATGTGATCTGCAACAACTCTGTATGCCATATCAATACCATCGGTATCTTCACTACCAACCTTACCTTGGTATTCTCTCACACCAGTGCCCTGCAGAACAGAAAATTATTGAAATTCCATGGCAACGGTCAAGTCATTTTTAACATTGCCTGCTAACTCCATTTTCCCCCCATTCATTCTGTGGAGGCTTTCAAGCGAATGAAATTATGCCATTTAACTGTTGGAGACTTGAAAGCCCTATAAAAGTAGATAAAGAGTGGGGCATTAAGGTAGAATATGATCGCTGATTTCAGATTTTTATTAAAAGTGGCATTGAATACCCTTCCTGACCCTCCTCCTCTATAGTGATCCCTGTTGTTCATTTCCGGTGTAACCATAGTAATATTTTATCTTATAGATAGAAGACAGATTGGAGAATATTTATATTTTTACTATTAGGAAAGACTGCATGGACTCATGATCGTTTTACATTTTAAATTTTCATTTTTTATATTTTATTTCATATTACACTTTATTGCTGTAAACTGATAGAAATGTTATTTCTAAAGATGCAATAAAACATTATTATCCTTAAAACTACTCTGTCAACATTTGTAGCCGCCAAATTGTCAATGAATGAATCAGAACACTGCGAAAGATTAGATGTAACCTAAAGTTAAAAGATCACATTTTAAGTTCACAGGTCAAGAACACATGTGCATTCATTAGATCTTGAAAAGATAAGTTGTACATGCTGAGACCAGTACAGTCAGTTGTAAAAGAGTCACAGGTGTAGGTCTCACAAAATATCACTCACCGCAGGTATGTATTAAATTCATAATTCATCAAAATTTGTCACTATATTTTCTATTTCATAACTGGCTCAATTTTTTGGGGGGAAACAAGGTAAACCTGTACATATATATATTTTCAAGGAATATGGGAGATTAGTTACACAGTCTGGACTTTTTTTGTAGTCATGTTGTATATTAGATACAGTAAAATGACTAATTTTCACTGGGTTTAAATTTCGCTGATTGTCGCATACGACTTATGTACCACTTCCGTGTCACTGAGAATGTTCTAGAACCGTACTGTGTCTGGGTGGAATATTCTAGATTTTGTTTAGAAACTGGTTGAATAGGTAATAGAACACTGTACGAGGCAATAGAAGGTAATAGAACATTCTAGAAATTGGTAGTAATATTACGTTGCGTGTGACACTGATTTACCATTTCAGGCATATTCAGTGGGTTTTAAATTCACGGTTTTATCATTTAGATGATATGTTTTATGCTAAATTTTAATTTTACATATTCACTGGGTTTTAATTTAGCACATTTTCCGAAATAAGCAAAATTAAAACCCTGTGAATAGATTTAACCCCTTTACAGTATACTTATTCTGACAGATTGTAATTAAATCTATGTGAAAATATTAATTGTTAATTAAATTGTTAATTTAATTGTTATCACAAACTACATGCATCTACGCATTCAAACTGCCTGAACCTTTTCACCACCAGACTTTCTTTCCCAACTAATTTCTACACTTTGTTTCTTATATTCTTCAATATTTCTGAAAATGAACACTAATTCTTGAGCCAACAAACAAAATTTGAGTCAATTTTCAGTTTTTACTCAAAAAATTTGGCTATTTTTGTCTCAATCCTCTGAAGTAAAGCGCAGACTATAAACAGGACTATTTTGTGATGAATGGGGGAAACTGGTGATGAAAAGTTTGATCTGTCAGTGACAAAAATAAACAGTACAGCAACAAGTCTTCACTCGAGAATATTTATTTAATAAATGCAGGAACTCTCAAATTGTTAAAAAAGTTATTTTTTTTGTTTTATTTAAAACTGTACAACTTAACGAGTATATGAACTTTAACCCATATATACTGTAAACGGGTTAATTAGTCACTGGGTTTTAATTTTGTTTATTTCGCTGACTGGAAAATGCCCTCAATTAAAACCCAGTGAATATGTAAAATTGGGCGTAGAATGCATTATCTAAATGATAACACCATGAATTTAAAACCTAATGAATATATGCCTGGAATGGTAAATCAGTGAAATTTAAACCCAGTGAAAATAGTCGTTTTACAGTACCGGTATGTAGTTTTCTATATGTATTCAATATGAACAAGATATCAGGTCAGTCAATTGAAGGATGGCATCATGATAGTGGAAGCATGGTACTGCTGGTGTACTTTGTAGTAATGTATTGATGTACAAAGCAGTCGAAACAGGACACTGAACATTGCTGATTAAAAAAGCCCATTTTACAATCGAAAAAGATGTACATTGTATTAATATTTATTTTCTACTCATCTATTTCTGTAGAAAAAATGGCAATTCCAGTTCCAAGAGATAGCTTACCAGAACTTATTACGCATCTCAAGAAATGGACACCAGACTGCTTCGCACAGTATTGGGTTATTAAAAATAGTGTTTCAACACAGAACAAATGGCCAATTATTGACGTGTTTATTGATACTGAAGATGTTCAGCAATGTACAAGTGTTGTAATTGTGATGATGGATTTTCGTCACCCACCAATGACGAGAGAATATTTTCCTTTCTCTAAAGACAATGAGAGACTTAAAACAATGTTGAGATCTGACGGACTCATTGACTGGGAACAAAAAAAGGTGTTTTTCAATACTGTACCACATTACAACCGAGATGTTGTCATGGAAACGTGCGCTGCACAGGGCTTCCAAAAGTCATACCGCTATGATGGAGTTACAATGATTCTTGTAACCAGTGATAAAACTAAGAAGTTTGCACAATCACCCCGTTTACCAGATGGTTTTACAATCGGCCACCTATCTCCAGAGCATGCAACATTGTTGGAAGAACGGTGGATCCACCCTCAATCTCCTACGCCAATGTTTGCAAAAAGGCTGAAATACTGTCCTTCTTTGGCGATTTTTGACAAACACCATCAACCAATTACATGGGTTCTAGAGAAAGAGTTTGGCGATATTGGAAACGGTTATTGTGAACCAGCCTACCGAAAGATGGGATTCTTAAAAATAGTTGTAACAAAGTTGCAATTGCAAATTGCTGAACGTAATGATGTTCCCTTCGCCTGGGTTCCAGCTGAGGCGCAGAAGAACCAAAAAAACCAACGTGGATACAAGATATGTGATGACCTTGTAACATCTTGGTTGATGTTTGAGAAAACAAAAGCAAATTTTTAAACAAGCAGCCTCTCGGCTGAGATAGCTCCACTGTTAGCAATGCACAGTTCAACTAAAGAACAGAAGATATCATTAGAAAATGAACAATATGAATAGTATCAATGCAACTGGATTTGCTGTTTTCAACAAGAATTTAAAAATATCATTTTTCACCATAAATAATTGTGGTTTTCAACAAGAAGAAAATATCACTTTTTACAAAAAATGACAAAAATATTCATCAAAAGTAGAGAATTGAAGATATCATCATGAAATGAACAAATCTAAGAGTGGTCCACATGTAGTACCTATATATGTAATATCAAAGCAATTGAACTTGAGGTTTTTAACAAGAAGTCGAAAATATCACTTTTTACCAAAAATGACAATATTCATTAAAATTAGAGAATTAAAGATATCGTTACAAAATGAATAAATCTGAGAGAGATCCACATGTAGTACCTATATATGTAATATCAAAGCAATTGGACTTGCTGTTTTCAACAAGAAGTCAAAAATATCACTTTTTACCAAAAATGACAAAAATATTCACCAAAATTAGAGAATTGAAGATATCATCATGAAATGAACAAATCTGAGAGAGGCCTATCCAAGGTACATATACACCAAGTATCAAAGCATTCAGGCTTGTAGTTTTCAAGAAGAAGTCGAAAAAGTAAAACATTGACACGAACGACAACGGACAATCACTCATATGATAAGCTCCGCTCGACAAAGTCGACAGCGGAGCTTAAAATGGAGATACCAAATGAACAAACTTGAGAGAGAACCAGTCATTAGTCATTCTGTCTGCATTATGAATTTCAAAGAAATGTGACCGGTGGTTTCAGAGAAAAAGTCGAAAACACGCAAAAATGAGCAAAACAAATTTTATAAAATGCACTAGTAGCTTCGCGGTAAGTGGCTTTCGCGTTAAGTGGATTTCGTATTGGGTGGGTCTTGCGGGAAATAGGGCTTTGTCGCAGTAACTGATCCTTTCATCGTTGTTGAGAATTAAAGCTTTATGTTTCTTTAACAACTTGCGCTATTCTGAGAATACCATCCTTAGAAGCTATTAATTTGCCTTTATGGTTTGTACAGGCTCTCTGGCAGGAGTTCCAAAATAAGACCCATGCTTACATTACATTATCATTATGATCTTATTGGTCACGGTGTTGCAAAGGATAGTTGAATATTGTTTATTAAAATTAATAATCCCCATAACAGTTTTCCAATATAAAAAAATAATAGTACGTAACAAATATATAACTCAGTCTCAACAATGAAATATATATATATATATATATATTTACATTATTACTAATGCATTGCAATACAACTAATTAGAATTGAAAGAAATTGCAATATAAAATATTCCGTCAGTAACACTTCTCAAGGGCGTATTTCACGGTCAGCGTTATTTACGAAAATATTTGTTTATAATTTTATAAATTGGCTTGGCAATTCCCACCCCAATTAGTTATAATGTGTACATGCTTTAATAAATAAAATTAAAGATACACTAACAAAAATGAAATATTAATTATTTCATTGTATAACCTGCACAAAATTAATCAATATTTGTCCTGATAAAGTTCACAGCTGGCGATTTAGCAATACCCGTATCAGGGATAGTGAACTTCTTGTGATTTTGATTACATAACGCTTTTAGGTTCATGTGCTGCAAGTTACAGAGCACGTACCTAAGCGGCAAACAATTAAGCCAAGGCAATTCTCCGTTTTTACGCAATCTGGGAAGTTCGAATTACTAAATGAAGTACAGGACGACGAAGCTGAACTATCCAAGAACCAACACATACCAAAAATCAAAATCTCAAAAGTGAATATTTGACAGGTAGGTCGTACCGTCACTGATTGGAAAAAAATCCTGGCCCACCACTGCCATTGCAACAGTCAAAAAC